AGATTTTAGTTTAGTCTAGGTTTGGAGTTTTAGATGGTTCCTGATTTTTGTGTGTATTTGTTTGTTTAAGTGTTTTATATTTTTGTTTGTTTGTGAGTTTTGGCTTTTGCTATCTTTATTTAGGAATTTTATTTTTAAAGCATCTTCTTCTAGTGTATGTGGAACACGTGGGTGTAAACCACATATTTCTAAAATGTTCCTATGATTTAGGGCACTTATCAGAAAATGATTCAAAACAGAATCACAGAGACCTCTTGAATCAAAACAACTTCCTGAACTATAAGGACATCTGTGGACAAGACTCCTAAAAATATTTTTTCTAAGCTGCTTCTCCCTACAGGCTGGAGGGAGAGAGAAAGTCTCACATCTTCTTCAGTATTTGGAGCAGTCGTGGTTTTAGTTATGTGCATTTGGAGGACATTCCAACAGTTGTCCATTCTCTCCCTCCTTCTTACCTGTTTTATGAGATTATGTAAAGCCTGATCTGTGCTGCATATGTGATAGAATTTAACAAGAAAGCTGCAAACGTCTTCGGATGGCAAACATTACCCCAGATGATTCACAAAATGTCACAAAGTCTCTGATGAAAATCCATAAATTTATCTTAGTTACCTTTTTATAGCTGTGATAAGATACCATGAGCAAGGAAAATTATAGAAAAAGAGTTTACTAGTGTTCATAGTTCCAGAGGGTTAGAGTCCAGGACCATCATGGGATACAGAACAGGATCGGTAGCTAAGAGCTTCTATTTTGATCCATAAGAACCAGGCAGAGACAGAGCTAATTGGAGATGTCCTGAGATTTTTTAAATATCAAAACACTACCCCTAGTGACATATCCCCTCTGACATGGTCACATCTCCCAACTATAAGAGTCCATATCTCATTTGTACACAGAGTTCATGGTAGAAAGTAGAGTGTGGTTTCTACTTAAGAGGATGCACTATGATGAAGCCCATCCTCAATATGGACAGCTATGTTCAGCTGTGCTCCTTTTAGTAGCTGCAATGGTTTTTGTTTCTAAGTAGCTGAAATTTCAAGTTCTTATCTTTTAGGTTTGTTCCAGTGTGTGGGTGAGGAACAATTGGAAAGAACATTTCTCTGCACTCAGGAGGCCCTTTCTTCTTGCCACCTCCTTTGAGGTAAATCGTCAAGGCTAGAGACTTCTGACACATAACCCTTGTCTTTCGGTATAGCTGGTGCCTGCCATCAACCTCAATCTTTCTGTTTGAGGTCCCTGAAGTAGAAAGTGCTTAAGAGAAATATTTCAAGGAGTTTTGCTCTTAAGGAGAGGTTTTCTCAGGCAAGGCATACCAAAAGGAAGGGTTTCCAACTTCATGAACTAACATTCATTTCAATGTCACACAGCTGTGATCTAAGAGAATATCTGAACAAATGAGATCATACACTGTCAAACAGGCTTGCGAGTTGATGGAGAATTAGGTAATAGCATAGATTTTAGAACAGTCACCGTGGACATTAAAGTATTTGGAAAGAATGGTGAGACTAAACAATGACTTTATGATTTTCCTTTTGTCAATGTTGTCTGAAGGTTCATTAAAGACACCTCAGTGCTTTGAGGCAAATCTAAGTTACTGCATTCTCTTTGTTTCTTCAATCAATTAAACAAGTTGACATAGGAAAGTGATAGGTGCTCAATGATTTTCAGTTTTCAACAATTCAAAAACACCTACCTGGCATCTTGCTTTTTGAGTCAAAGGATGTCAATGTGTCTTTTGAAGTCATTGAATTACATATATTATCTGTAATATACTGAGCAGAAATTTGGATCAAAGGAAAACATCTAGCTTAAGGCTCATGATAATGATTGAAAAAAAGAAAAGGTCTGCTCCTAATTCTTCCATTCCTTTATATCTCACCCATTCCTCCATCCTACCTGGCTCTTAAATTGTGTTCTAAGGATTCCTCAACATCATCCAGCAATCCCTTCTAGTTTAGTTTCTTTTCCTGATAAAACAATTTAAGGAAGGAAGGGCATCTATCAGCTCAATGTTCAAGGTACAGTCCATCACGGAAGGAATGAGTTTGAGGAAGCTGCTCACATGCTACCCACTGTCAAGAAACAGAGAGCAATAAGTTCTTGTGCTTATCACACTGTCTTCTTTTAATTCCATTCAGGACTTCATCCCAGGGAATGGTGTCATCCACTGTATGTGTGTTCTCATTTAGTCTAATCAAAAAATCTCCTCTATTCTGGCTGGTTATACCTCAACTTCACATAAGCTAGAATCATTTGGGAAAGGGGAGCCTTAATTGAGAAAATTTCAATACAAGACTGGCATGTGGAGAAACCCATGGGGACATTTTCTTGATTGATGTTTCATTTGAAAAATCCCACCTCACAGTGGGTAGTGTCATTCCTAAGATTTTGGTCCTTTTCCTGACATATATAAGAAGCAAGCTGAGTAAGCCATGAGGAGCAAGCCAGAAGAAGAATGCCTCCATGGTCTCTGCATCAGTCCCTGCCACCAGCTTCCTGCCCTGAGTTCCTGTTTTGACTTCATCGATGGTGACTAGATACTTGGAAGTGTAATCTGAAATTAATCCTTTCCTCTACAAGATGCTTTTGCATAAAATTTAATGAAGATAAACTATGTATTTATCTTTGTTATATTATAATATACTGATTGCTACAGAGTGCTCTTGATTCTTTAAAATGTTTTCCTTTATCTGTTCTCAAAATTTCTGCCTCCTTTCTTCCTTTATGAAAGCAAAAAAAAAAAAAAAGGTCAGTCTTGTCTATATCTGGTGGAACAGACCTGTATGCCACACACCCAGTAGGCTGAGGCAGGTAATTTAATGGAATCTTTTCTTGAATATAAAAATGCATGCTGGATATGCTGCTTTGTTGGTAGTGGTCCAGTTTTAGGATCACATGGAGAAGATTGTGGGGGGTGCATACCTGTAATCCTAGTACTTAGGAAGTTCAGGGAGTTAAAGGCCAGCATGAGACACTTTCTTAAAATAATATAATGATTTTAATTAAATTTAATTGATAAATTAATAAAACCAAGTGTGGCTATAGCTTACTGATAATGTGACTTCCTAACATGTGAATTCTTCTAATTTCAATCCCAAGTAATACACACACACACACACATACATACAAACATACACACACATACACACATGCACACACACACACACACACAATTAATCTTCAACAATTAAATCATAGAAAAATGGGCTTTCAATGAAACATAAACTTTCTGACTCCCAGTCCAGGCCATCTATAAAACAATGTGTCACTTTTCAACTTGCCGTGTTTGTATACATCTTATAAGATCTTCCCCAGATGGAGCAATTATAAATGTTCTGGTGTATAAGCAGAAAAATGAGAGATAATTTCATAGAAAAATAATTAAAAACTAACACATTTATTTCCTCAAAAGTATTGTATTTTATTTAATTCCCAACCCACTTAATCAAGTTTAATTATGGAAAATGTCTTTCAGAATCCCTGAAACCTCTAGCATTTGGTTCTCTTGCACTTAACAGACTACTACACAGCACTGCTATTGTTTAAACTCTTCCAATGTGTGGTTTGACATTACTGCTTTGGTAAATCCCAGTGAGGTCTCTTGCTGGAGGACATTTGCCAGATATGAGCAAAGTCCCCTTATCATCCCTCCCCCTCCTTGAGGGTCCCATCCTTCCCTCCACTGTCCCCTGCTCACTGTGCTCACTGACAATAAGACCAGAAGATTCATAGCCTTCTTTAGATGCATGAATTCCACTAATCTCTTCAAATAGGGCTCCAGGTTCATTCCATAGTACCACAGAAATGGGACAAATGCCTTTAGCTTATTAGTTAAAAGTTCAAGTGGCCATGGATGTAAAAGGACAGGGAAGGGCCCCTCTAAGAATGTGGGTTTTAAGGATTCTGGTGATTTTTTTAAAAAATAAATTTCTACTATGCGGTTCTAGAGAGCTGAACTCAAATCATCGAACTTGTCATCAAATCCCTTTACTGGCTGAGCCATCTTTCTAGCTGATACCTGATATTTTGTTAGTGTTTTCTGTATCATTTAATATTGTAACTAATGAAAGTTATTGTTAAAGAATGCATGGTTATATGTAACCAAGAAACAATAACGCTGGGAGAATGCACACAGATTAAAGACACATACGTATTTTATAGTTAGCTTTAAAGATCCACATGATAAAACTGAGAATCACCTAGGAAGAATCAACTGAGTCTTCCTTACCCTGGCCTATAACATGACTGTAAGAGACTGTCTTGGTCATTAAGTGAGGTAGGGATATCTACTGTGTTTATTTATTTTTTGTTTTTTTCGAGACAGGCTTTGTCTGTATTGCTTTGGAGCCTGTCCTGGAATTTGCTTGGTGGACCAGGCTGGACTCTAACTCACAGAGATCCACTTGCCTCTATCTCCCAAGTGCTGGGATTAAAGGCGTGCAACACCAACACCTGGTGGGATATCTACTCTTAATGAGGTCTACATCATCACCTGGGATGGCCCCTGAGTGGCATAAATGTGAAGAAAGCTACTTGAGAATAAGCAAGCAAGAAAAATGTGTTTATTCTCTTTGCTTTTGACTGAAGATGCAATGTGTCTAACTATTTGAGTTCTTGCCTTGACTTCTTTGAAATGATGGATTAGTGTCAAGAATCATAAGCTAAATAAACCTCTTGCTGTCAGATGTTTTTGTTGGTGATTTTGTTTACTTGGTTGTTTACACAGCAACAGAAATGAAACTGGGATACACACACACACATAAAGACAAAGACACGCATGTCTATCCACATACATACATATGCACATACAGAAAGTAAAAGAGAAGTCCTGGTTTTAACTCAAATTGTTGCTACCTCCTCAGCCACACAGAACTTGGCAAAGGCATTTCTGGAGCTCTTCCTTGGTGACTTTGCCCTTGTAGTCTAGCCCAAAGGGAGGGGCCAGAAGCCTCAATTTACAGACAACCCACTCCTGGGGACCTTGGGAAGGATTGACTCACCTCATAGTCAATGTCCAGGACATCTGTCTCACCCTTAGTTCGGAAGTGTTGTGTGTTCGTGTCCACAGTAAAGTTTGCTTGCTTGCCCACCCGCTCCAGGAGAACTGAGTGCCAGTGCTGGTCATCCAGAAGGCTACCCAGGATGGCAGAAGGCGCGATGCTGCTGAGTCTGGCTTTGCTGTCATCTGCAGATGAAGGGGGGGAAGCGTGGAGTTTTAGCCTAGGTAGCTTTGAATCCTGTCCATCAACAGCACTGAATACCAGGTACCTGAGGTTTCCTCAAACAAACACATCATTTATATCACTGGGCCTTCTAGGCAGCTTTGAATCCTGTCCATCAACAGCATTGAATACCAGGTACCTGAGGTTTCCTCAAATAAACACATCATTTATATCACTGGGCCTTCTGCAGGGGTCTGGTTCAAATGATATGCACCCCCACATCCTGAAAAGAAATGTAGTGTTTCTGGGACACCAGCAATTGTTTGGTGATGGGAATGCTTATGGTACTGGCCAAAGGAATAAAATTTAAAAGAGAAGTTTCCACATTCAGAAAAAGTAACTAATTTATATACACGCTTTATTCTTTAGTACTTTGAATGAAGAAAGTTGGACTGGCTTGGGAGGAAGCCAGTGGTCAAACAGTGTATTTCTGTACAGAGAAAGACATAACCATTCCAGCTGCAACTGTTGAATGCCTACTGGATGAACTGAGTCCTTCCACCAAAAAGCATATGGCTGCTACCACCTGACAGAATTTTCTCAACATTAAGGGTGAGCTATCATTACATATGCATAATTTTTTAAATCTATATAAATTTCATATGTGTTGGGGGGCATGTGAGAGAACAATTGCATGAGTTCATGTCTATAGAGCTGCTTTCCTTCTTCTATCACGTGTGTATTTCACTCAAACTCCTAGATTATGATAGCTAAGTGTATCTCTTCTTTCTTGATTATGTGACATTCAGGGGTTAGAGGCAGCTAATCTCACTATGGGCTGCATACTCCTACCTGGTGTGGCCTAATGGTACTGTTTGTCTCACTGAATAATGATGACTGACTTTCTCCTGAAGTTGGAATGTGGATGCCCCACTTAGCACACTAGCAAAGGAGAGCTGGTGAATTAATTTGTGATGCTGTTTTGGTGATTTACTATTCATTTATTCTATAAGCCTTGAATTCTCACCACTGTCAGATTATGCTAATGTATTAATAAATACCCCCTCTCTTCTTGTCCTTCCTCCAAGGACATTGTAATATAGCACTACTGGTCATGGTCATACACACAAAATATATGGAGGGAGGTGGAGCTCTCTCTTCTGAGAGTTCCAATGTGGGTGTATTCTAGTAATAGTAGTTAGGACAGATGACTACATAAACACAGACCAAAGGCAACATACACAGGAAGAGGTAGTGTTTGGAGAAGCTGGTGACTAGGCTGAGAGGTGACAGGGACAATGGAAGGGACCCTTAGCAGAAGAGAGCTAGCTGATAGAGCTGGCTTCACCCTACAGGACAGGGTGAGGTTGCTGCATTCAGATTAACACCGAAGAAAGGTTAGATTAGCAGTCATATAAAATCTGGCAATTACGGCCAATTTAGCTCCTCTAAAAGTTAGGCCAACTGTAACACCTGCTATAATTTGTAAGCGTCTCATAGGTAAGAATCATATTTCTGAGTAATTTTAACACCTCTCTCTCTCTCTCTCTCTCTCTCTCTCTCTGTGTGTGTGTGTGTGTGTGTGTGTGTGTGTGTGTGTGTGTGTGTGTGCTATGATACGCCTTTGGAGTTCAGGGATAGTCTTGAATGTCATACTTTCCCTTCCACCTTCTTGTAGCCAGGGTCTCTTGTTTGCCCCTGAATGTCCATCCCTGACTAACCAGCCTCTGAGCTTCTGGAGATCTCTTATCTCTGTCTCCCATCCTATAGTAAAAGAGCTGGGGGGGAGCTGGGCAGTGGTGGTGCACGCCTTTAACCCCAGCACTAGGGAGGCAGAGGAAGGCAGATCTTTGTGAATGTCAGGCCATCCTGGCCTACAGAGTGACTTCGAGGACAGGTTCCAAAGCTGACAGATAAATCCTGCCTCAAAACACCCCCCTCACACACACACAAAGAGAGAACTGAGGTTATATGTAGTCTGGCTTTATGTGGATGCTGGGGATCCAAATTAAGATTCTCTTTTTCTTTCTTTCTTTTTTTTTTTTTGGTTTTATGAGACAGGGTTTCTCTGTATTGTTTTGGAGGCTGTGGATCCAGCCCGGCCTCGAACTCACAGAGATCTGCCTGCCTCTGCCTCCCGAGTGCTGGGATTAAAGGCATGCACCACCACCGCCCAGCCAAACTCAGATTCTCAGAGTTTTGTCACACACACTTTATCCACTGTACCATCTCCCTAAGCAATTAATGTCTATTTCTCTTAGATATAGAATAAAGCTGAAAAATCTCTTCATTTTTATTTCATTTTTGTGAGCCATATTCTCTGACCTTTACCCATTTGTTTTTCCAACATTTTGCATTTAGTCCATTTTGTGTAATAAAAAATTTGAGGGTATCTTTCTGTTCTTTGACTTTTTGTATATTGCTTTTTCTGTTTCATTTACTTTAACACTGAAGATATTTTACTGTTGAAAATTCATTATTTTGGGGCTGGGGAGATGACTCAGCAGTCTAAGTACTTCTTTTGCAGGCTCAAGGATCAGGATTCAGACCTCTAGAATCCGTGGCAAATGCATGGTGGCTGTATTGGCACACTATAATTACAGCCATGAAGGAGGAGACTGAGGATTCCTGTGTAAACTGTCTCACAAGACTACACATTTCACTGAGCTCTGCATTTGACTGAGAGTTCCTCCCTTGATAAATAATGAGGAAGAAAAAATCCAGGATGATTTTCAACATCAATTGTGGGTATCCACATGCAGGAACACACAGGTGCACATGTACCCATGTGTATGTGTTCCCACACAGATAAAAAAATAAAAACCCCAGATTCACACATGATAACATATGAAAAATAGAAAAAGAAGCACAATTATTTCTCTTCTCTTTAACAGCCCATCCCTGCTTTGCCATCATAGAGGAAATCTCCAAATGTGTTTCACCATTTACTCATTTTGAATTTAGAAACCCACTTCTTGCATTATATTGGAAGGCAGGCAGTTGGAGTTTTCTAAAACCCACTAGTGCACTATCTTGGTAACTACAGGATGAATTCAGTGTCTTGAACACATTGTCCAGACTCTCCTTTTTTATATATTTTATTTTTAAATTTAAGTTTAAATTAGAAACAAGGTTGCTTTACATGTCAATTCCAGGTCCCTCTCCCTTTCCCTCCCCTCCTCCCGTGGCCTCCCACCAACCCCTCCAATATCCCTTCATTTTCCCAGGGAGGGTGGGGCCCTCCATGGGGATGTCCATAGTCTGTCATTTCATCCAGGGCAGGCCCTAGACCCTCCCCTAAGAGTTCAGGGTAAGAGAGCACCTCACATTGTTGGATAGGTACCCAAAGTACATTTGTATACCCAGGATAAATACTGATCTACTACCCAAGGCTCAATAGATTACCTAGGACTCCTCACTGACAACCACATTCAGGGGGTCTTGATCAGTCCCATGCTGGATTCCCAGCCATCAGACTCATAATATCATCTACAGCTGAGTTATGTCCACATTCACAGGCTCAGTTTTTATTACACATGCTTACTGATTCATGGGGACAGTGTGAGCACACAATGGTGTTCATGAGTCAACCAGAGAAAAAGTTGTGGGAGCTGGTTCTCTCCTCCTGTCTCCTGGAACCAGGGTTTGAATCCAGGCTGTCAGCCTTGGCAGTGAGCATCTTTGACCACTGAACCATCTCACCAGCACACAAGAACACTTCTTCACTGATTCAAGAAGAGGAAGATATGAATGAATTCCATCCATTCCTTCTTTAGTTATTTTTAACTAAAACTAACATATCATACTTTAAAGTGAGTAAGAATTGGCCTGATAATATAAATGCAGAAAAAAACTATTTGAGTATTAGTAGCATAGAATTGTACTGATGAAGAGACAACAACGATCATCTAATGAAACTTCCCCTAGAAACCCAGATTGTTGTTATGGAAACCACAGAAAGCACAATTCTTAGCACACTATCACGGCCTTTATCTTGGCACACCTGTTTCCAGTTTTATCTCAGTTGCATTTGATGTTCAATTACCCCATTTTAACAGCTTTTCAATTTATTAAGACAAGATAAAAATCCTCATGAACAGCTGAGAAGAATACAAATGAAACAATGAGGGAGAAGCGAGAAGCTTATTTTGGGGCCAGAAACAAAGAAATTTGTTTCTCATTAAATGGAACTCTTTTTTCTATTTAGTTTTAAGATGACATAAGTGCCACCTTAGCCTTCTTGTAATGAATATGGGGAAGTGATGTTTGCACTTTTAAAAGATTTATTGTTTAGTTTTTAAATTTTATATACATGAATATTTGGCTCACATAGGATGGCGCATCATGTTTGTGCATGTAGGGGCTAGGAGAGGGCCCTGAGTGCCTTAGAACTGGAATTATAGATTAAGGCTTTTGAGCTGCCATGTGGGTCCTGGAAATTGAACCCAGGTTGTCTTTAAGGGAAAAATTGTTTTTGCCTGCTACTTAAAGATTTACATTTTAGCATTTGTGTGTCTGTATCTGTGAGTATATATTTGTGGTTGAGTGCAGGTGCCCATGGAGTTCACAACAGCATCCACAGTCTTCTATCCTTCTGGACCCAGAGTTATAGGTGTGTGTGTGTGTGTGTGTGTGTGTGTGTGTGTGTGTGTGTGTGTGTGTGTCTTTTGAGTATACATGTGCATTAAATACAAATACCCATGAAGTCCACAGCAGCACCTACAGACTTCTGGAGCCTAGAGTCAGTGGTGTGTGTGTGTGTGTGTGTATCCCTAGCATTGTTCATGAATTACTCTCCTCCTTACTGTTTTGGAGTTTTTGTCTGTTTGTTAGAAGCAAGGTTTCCCACTGGATTAGAACTCACCGAATAAGTTAGGTAGGTGACAGGTGAGCACCAGGAACCCACGTGTCTCTGCCTCCCAAGTACTGGGATTACAAGCGTTATAAGCACGCACTGCCAAGTTTGTTTTTTTAAGTGGGTTCTGGAGGTTGAACTAGGTCCTTATGCTTGTATGACAAGAAAGTTAACAACAGAGTTATCTCCCCAGCCCTAGGTTTATATTTGATCTTCTGTGTTAGGCATCAATTTTATGAAATAGTCTTAGAAATCTGTAGTTTCTTTCTTCTTCTCTGTCTTATATTCACCATGAATGCAAGGAGGATGCTTGGATTTGCCACTGAAAAAGGACAAGAATAAAGACCTACATTGTTTACTGTTGGGAGTGAGGCTACATGGTGGAGATTCTCACATTCTCCTGATGACTAAAATATAGCTTTCTCTGATGTTGCCAGTGTACCTTGAGCTTGGTCCCAGTGTTGAATTACATTTATCCTTCTTAACTATTAGATAGTAAATATTAATAACGGTATGTTTCCTATCTTTATATTAGTAAATATTAGCTGGGATACAGGAAGGGAATCTCAGACAAAGCAGCCTGTTTAGGACCTAGAAAGATTGCTCAGCAGGTTAAAGGCATGTGCCATTGAACCTGATGACATAGCTGGACCCCCAGGAAAACAGCAAGGCCCAACTCCTAGTTGTCCTCTGACCTTTACACTTGTGACATGGCAAACCACAATCACACACAAATAAATGAATGCCATGAATTTACAAAGTCACTTTCTTCACCCTCCAGCATATTTCTTTTTCTATGAGGTTTTTCTAGATAAGGGCTCCTTTAGTTTTCTTCTGTGCCCTAAGGAATTCAGCACCAGCGTTCTGTGGCCTGACTAGTCCTTCCATTCTTCCATAAGAAGTCATAAAGGAACTCCTCCCCTTTTTCCTGTAGTGAGAAGTTGGGTATAGTGGATGTAGACATGCCGGCAGTGAGGCAAGCCCAAGGAGTAGCTCACTCATAAAGGTGAGTGGCATCCTACTGTAGGGAGGCTGAAAGGAGCCCTTTTCTACATCAGCAGCCTTTCAAGTCCCAGGCTTATCCTTCCAGGGCCAGGCCATCTTAACAAAGGAAAGCCTAGTGACTTAGTTTTTCCACTCACACTTTTTACATCCCACTACGATGAACAAAATGGTTGCATGTTTCTCTTGACAGATTTTTTTTAAACGTGCCTAGTCAGCTCAAATATGAGAAGCTCATTATAATGGGTACACGTTTAAACTTTTTTAAGTTACTTAAGAGTTTGACTTCTGACAAAATTCAGGTTAAGTATGAACATTAACAGATATTTAAAAGTCACATTGTAGCTTGCCTTACTTAGAAATATTGTCTTTTTTCACAATATGATACCTCTGGCAAAAAAGAAATGAAAATAAGTACTGCTCTACCCACATGAAGATGAAATTTTTGAAAATAAGTGCTGTTCTAATCCTAAAGACAAAGGAAATAAATCACTTAGATAGTGGTCTGGTGACTCCATTTAATGAGCTAGGAAATGCTCCCATACTTTTTATAGTGACCTTTTGCAAACATTAGTGAATATGAGTACCTGCAGAATTGAACTTGAACCCATAACACCTATATACCAAAGAAATAATAATAATAATAATAATAATAATAAACAAAAAATTTGTGTATGTCTGTGAGTGCCTCCCCCAATGACAGAAATAGTGGATCTTAATGACTTACTGGCCACCCAGGCTAACTCCAAACACAAGCTTTTGTAACAGTAAAAGATCTTGTGTCAAAGCAATGGGCCAGAAACAGGGAGATATCAATTGCCTTGTTTTGTCCTCCACATGTATGTGCATAAAAATGCACACGTGTATATTCATGTGCACACAACACACACACACACACACACACATACACACACCAAAATCAGTGAGCTATGAGTTCTGTGAGAGACTGCCATAAAAAAAAAGGTGAGGGTAACAGAGGAAGACACCTGAGCATCACCTCTGGCCTCAACAGTCATTAGTACATATGCATGATTCTGACCCTACCCAGGTTCAGGTACAGGGCTAGCCTGCCCTTCTGGAGCTCCAGGGTGATATAGTCTCCACGTTGTCCTTCTCCATGGAACAGAACCCCATCTCCTTGCATGCTCTTGAACTTCAGAGAGATAACATCCTTGAGGGTACTCATCATCTTCTGATTGAACCTGTACAAAAGGGAGCTCCTGCCATCAAAGTCAGCAACATCTGATTCTGCAAGTAGAGAGAAGAGAAAAATAAATGTCAGTGTGTTTCCTCATGATATTCTTGCTTCTCATCATTAGTGCTACTTGGTTCACAGGAATGGCCTTGAACTCTTGAAGATCCCTCTTACAGGGAGGCATATGGAGCAGAACCACCTAAGTAGAATATAAGGACTCAAACATTTGTAGGCAGTGTAGCCACACCATACTAAAGGAGAAACTCCTGTTAACGATCATTGAACAAAGCAAGATATGAACAGCAACAGGGCCTGGAAGGGAGCTGACACATAACTCCCTCCAATGAGGTGCATTGAGTAAGAGGGCCTCAAGGTCATGATTGGGCCTCCAGATGGTAAGGATAGAATTTGACAGAAATAATACAATACATGGAATATAGCTATGATGGGGCCTTAGAGGGCAGAGGGGCTTGCTTTAATGCCTTGAGAGGTGCTTCGTTAACAGAAAGAATAAGGAGATAGGGCGAGTGAGAGAAATGCATAGCTGTTATGCAAAGGATGCTGAGAAAGGCCAGAGGAAAGGAACCTTCTCAGAGAGGAACATTGAGTGCTCTCATGAATAAATCTCTCTTAGGTTAGGAAATTTTTTCTTCTATGATTTTTTTATTACTCACCCATATATGGATATTATACATAGAGCAAAGGACTACCAGCTAACAATCCACACCAGCAGATAAACTAGGAAACAAGGAGGATCCGAAGAGTAAAACACATGGTTCTCCAAAGAAGGGGAAAGGGACAAGAAACCCTGAGCAAATTGGGATCATGGGTGGGGAGAGGAGCAAGATAGGAAGAAGAGAAGGGGAGAAGAGGAGTGGGGAAGAGAACATGAGGGATCAGGAACACTGAGACAGGGGAAGGCTAGAAGAGAGCAAAAAAGGAGATACCTTGATAGAGGGAGCCAATATAGGTTTAGAACGAGGTCTGGCACTAGGGAAATGTTCAGTGATTCACAGGTATGACCCCAGCTAAGAATCTAGGCAGTAGTGGAGGGACTGCCTTTGATGTCCTTCCCCTAGAATATTCCTAGAGCCTTCATCCAGTAGCTGATTGAAGCGGAAGCAGGCACCCACAGCTAAACACTGGCCATACTCCTGGAATCCAGTTGTAGAGAAGGAGGAGGGATGAGCAAAGGAGCCAAGGCTGTGCTGGAGAAACCCACAGAAACGGTTGACCTGACCTAGTGAGGGCACAGATACCCTAGTTGTAAAGCTGGGGAACTAGCATTGGACTGAACCAAGCCCTCTAATGTGGGTGCCAGCTAGGAGGCCTGGGAAGTCTATGGGACCTCTAACAGTGGAGTCAGTGTTTATCCCTACTGCACAAATGAACTTTGGGAGCCCATTACCTAAGGAGGGATACTATTGCAGCCCAGATACAAGAAAGAGGGCCTAGGCCCTCCCCCAAAGAATGTGAGAGACTTTGATGATCCTCCAGTGGAAAGCTTCCTTATACTTGGGGAGTCAGTGGGGGTGGGTTGGGGGAGTAGGCAGGTGGAGGGGTCATGGGAGGATGGGAGGGAGAGGGAACTGGGATTAATATGTGAAACAAGATTGTTTCTAAAATAAAAAAGAAAGGAAGGAAGGAAAGAAGGAAAGAAGGAAGGAAGAAAAAGAAATCTCTCTGAGGTTTCTGGTACTCATCCTTAGATCAAATGGAAGATCTAATATTTTATAAACTTTGTAGGTGGCAGACAGATTGCTTATTAAATCCTCTGCCACAATGAGAGTTTGAGGGACCTGTGACCTGATATGTTTATGTGACTGGGATAAAGTTGCAGGCCGATCTACTGTGATGGGCTAGCCTGTGTTTAAGGAGACAGGGTGACAGTGCCACAGGCATTTACATTAGGATTTTGGACCAGTGCCCAGTTTTTAACAACTTCTCATGATTTACCTTTTGCTAATTTGATTCTGACATCTAGAGTCACTTGATCTCTTCATCCCAAGCTCCAGGCTGGAGTTGAAAAAGAGACATCCTTTATTATGACAACTCTGGTTGAGTAATTCAGTCTTTTCCAGAACTCTTTGCTGAGAATTCTGAAGATTCCCTGGGGTATAGTCAAGAAGAATAGTGTATGGAGAATGGTAATTTGAACATAGGGGTATTATGGTATATGTGCCTTGCTCTGGGTTTCTGTTTTAGGATTTTATGTAAAACATTCTGTCACTATTATTATGTTTAGAATTTATTCTTATCTGAGATAGTTCTTTAGTTGAGACAAACTTAAAGAACTGCATATTATAACATGAAATCTCTCAACAATTACATACATATACTAATGTCAACTCAGAATCAGTATATCTTGTTGCTGAAGTAGAGGAGACGACTTTGTTGATGAGTGTGGCCTGTTTACTCTGCACACAACATATTGACCCCAGTATGATTTCAATGTAGACATTAGCTCAGTCTCATAGCCTTGGCAAATAACTAACCAATGCAATAGAGAATTAGTTGGGTCTATGATCATATGAATGGAGCTACTGGCACTGCCTAATGATAGAAGGGAGAGGAGGATCACCTGACCCTCATCTGGAAGTCAAGCCATTATTCCTTTCTGCCCTTCCCAGAAATTTGAGTATGTAGGGAGTGGAAGTTTAGGGAAGGTGATTGTCATCTACACGAGGGTGAAGCTGCTGTTGCCCTCTTACTGGAAGCTCCTCTAGTTAATCCCTCACCAATGCTCTGTAAGTATGAATAATCAATTTATTTATTTGTCAAATTGGGCTTTTATGGGAAGCCTTTAAATCTTGGTTCTTTACATTCAACTTTCTTAAGATCAGCTTGGCCAAATCCCATGCACAATAACACGTAGTATTTGGCATTATAAGCTAGCTTCATTTCATTTAGCATTTTGTCACACAATTCTATAAATATGAAAGCCAGAAAGAGAAAGTCAAGAAGTCATGATCTAAACAAATTTATGTAGTAGGTAGTAGATGTGTATATATGTGTATATCCAAACTGAGAAATCTGTGAAAATATTCAGTGGAAAAATGATTTGACTGTATGTGTGTGTGTGTGTGTGTGTGAGAGAGAGAGAGAAAGAGAGAGAGAGAGAGAGATTCATATATATATATATGTGTTTGTATGTGCATGGGTTTGTGTATGCATGTGGACATCTTGGGTTGAAACTATGTCTTCTTTAATCACCTTCCACCTCATTTTTGTTGTTGTTATTGTTGAGAAAGAGATTCATGGAGCCCAGGTTGTTATTGAATCCACAACACTGCCAAGGAAGACACTGATCTTCTCATCCTCATGCCTCCATTTTCTGAGTGATAGCATCAAAAGAGTGTATTATGTAGCTGGTTTCATACAGCAGTGAGATCAATTCCACACCTTGTGCATATTAAATACACTTTCTACTAACTGAACTGCCTCCCTAACTCCCATCTTTCACTGAGCTTGGTTCCCAGCACTTAAGCGGACTGGATGGCCAGTGAGCTCCAGGGACCCTCTTGCCTCTATCTCAAACCTGAGGTTACTGAAGTGTGACACTGAGCCAAGCATGTCACATGTGTGCTGAATTCATGTTGCCATGCTTGTGTGGCAGGCACTTTACCACTGGGCAATCTCCACAACCCCTTGGAAGAATTATTGTAGGTTACTTTTATATCCTTTCACTATTTTTATTACAAAAAATATACTGTAAAATGTTAATACTTCTATAATACAAAAAATGTAAGGCTACTTAATTATAGCTTGGAAAGGATTCATGATATACCATCTTAGCAGGGTGAATAAGAGGTGAAGGGCTGTGTGGACAGGATAGAATTATTTTTATTTGAAATCCAGCCACAAAGACTCAATTTTTCTGGTTTTATCAATTAACTAAAATTCTCAGATTGATTATTCATATTGATAATGATTATTTTCCTGTTAAAGGATATAGGATTACCCTTAATAACTAAGATGTTGATATAAAACCTGTGAATTACCTTGAAAGTAAAATTCCATAATTTATTTGTACATATCCAGGATCTAACTCTTGATATATACAGGTCATGACTCCATATGTAAAAAAAAACAGACAAGATTCAGGGAGGTCTTTACAATAGTTTGTGTACGTTAGCACTACATTTATGCATACTGTGCACACTGAACCTCTAGCTAAACAAGTGGGGCTCTTGACACTGTTGTCCTATCTTGCACAATGAGCATCATGGCTAGACAGAGCATGAGAACTATAGTTAGCCAACTGGAGCACCTTCGCAAATTTATCTACTTAAGACTTAATTTCACATGTAAGACATATATATTAGAAACACATAAAATAGCCTTTAGAAAAAGATCCTTTAGGACTGAGAAGATGACTCAATGAGCAAAATGTTTGCTGTGTGTGAATGAGGACCTGACTGAGTTCAGATCCCTAGCATTCCTTTTAAAACAAGTAGGAGTATCTCAATCCCAGAACTACAGAGACAAAGACAGGCAAATCCCTGGGGCTCATTGTCTAGCAAGTCTAGCCAAATAGGCAAGTCCCATATTCAATGGGAAACCTATTCTCACATGTGTACATAAACCTTTCCCAAAAATATACTGTGGTGATATTTTGATTGTACAAATAGAGCTTGTTTGAAGATCAGAGAATGGAGCTTGCCACTTGCTAACCCTAGAGGTCTGGAGGTCTATACATATGGACAGTAAGTGGTATGCCTGGATGGAAACAGGAAGTGAGATGGCTGAGCACAGTCAGGAAGTGAGATGGCTGGGCAGAGGGAGGATATAAGCAGGGAGAAACAGAAACTCTCTTGTCTGCAGAGATGCTAAGGTGATTTAAGGTGTGGTTGTGGCTTGCTTCTTCTATCTGATCTCTCAGCATTTTTCTCTATATCTGACTCCAGGTTTTTATTATTTAAACCAAACAAACACTCCATTTACCGTATACTCATAGTGAGAAGTAAACTAAAAATATTAAATAAACAAAGTGTTCAGAAAGTGAGAAAGATACCTGATATCCACCTCTACACATATGCACACCCATGTGAGC